TGCTCCATTTGTGTACAGTGTGTCAAAATGCATTCTACTGTCCTGTATAACTAATTGGAACAAATTTTAAAAAATAAAAAAATTCTTATAATGTTTTAACGTTTATTTTTTAGGGGGAAAGGAGTAAATCATATGATGGTTGCTCTATATTTCACCTCAAAACAAACAAACAAAGAAAAGCAAGGCCAGAATGATTTCCCAAAAGAAAAAGCCTGAAAAAAGTTTTGCCTAGCCAGCTATGAAACTGTAATGCGGAAATGTACTGACTGGGGTCTTTAAGGCAAAAGTCCTTTTAAAAGTTTAATTTAGAAATAATAACATCAAAAAACGTTCTTGTGTGTCTGCACAGGGGGGTTGTGAAGCTTCCAGTGGGCAGTGAGGGTGTGTTTTAACTGGGGGACAAGGCATTTTAGTCTCTAGTCTAGCCTTTACTACTCATGAAGCAGCACAGATAACTTCTAATGCTTGCAATCTCATCATTCTCCTGATATTTCTGGTTGCTCCGTTATTTTTTAGGTCACTTGTACCTTTTCATATGTGTTCAAAGGAAAATATTTCTTAAGGGGTTCTCAAGGTCTGAAAGAAGTACATTTCATTTTCTAAAAGTTAACTCCTACTTTTTTGGGTGAGCACAGTGGCATGTACTTGTAATCCCAGCTGGTGGGGAGCCTGAGGCAGAAGGATGGTAAGTTTGAGGCCAGCCTGACAACCTAGTGAGACCCTATCTCAAAATAAATTCAAACAGGGTTGGGGATGTGGCTCAGTGCAGGAGTGCTTGCCTAGCTAGTGGGAGGCTCTGGGGTCAATACCCAGTATTGCAGGGACTTACTTGCTCTCTAGGTGACATATTTGGAATGAAGAAAAATCTTATAGTTTTAACAATATATAATTGAGAGGATAAACCAATATGTTTGGTTGCTATCCAAATAAACAAACTAACACCCAGTCAACCATAAATTTAAATGATCAAAAGTCTCTTGCCTTCTTAACTCACTTTAGTTAACTGAAAATCGTTTTACTTCTGAGGTTGAAGAGGAGGTAATGGTGGTGATGATGTGATAATTAACATTCACTGAGCACTTACTTTGTGACAGCTATTGTTTTAAGAATTTCCACTTGTTTACTTGATTACCACCACAAACCTGAGTTCTCCCCATTTCAGAAATGGGGAAACTGAGTCAGAGCAAGTATAAATGGTAAAACTAGGACCTGGTGGGTCCAGGATTTGAGTGCAGGTTTTCTGCCTCCAGAGCTTGGTCCCTTATGCACTTGTTGTGCTGCTTTTTCCTGTTCTATGGGTAACCTTTGTGTCTCTGTTAGACTCCCCACACCCCCCCCCAGGCTCCCCGCACCCAGGTCTCTAGTATGTATTTTAGGATGGGATTTAATACTGATCACAGAGAGAATGGTGGGAAATGGCCCAGCACCACCACCTCCTTGTTATCCTTCACATAAAGCCCGTGTCCTTCTGACCCCTTTAAACTGAGTCTCTCCTCCCTTCTACGCTGCAGTCTTCCTAGTCAAGTGACCTCCTATGGGCCAGCGTCTCCGGTGATCCAGGCAGCCCTTCTCCATCTGAGGAGTTCACCTTCCATTATGTGTAATGAGGAGGCTGAGGCAGGCAGCTCGGAGGCTCCTCTCCCACCTCTCAGCGTCCCCAGCCTCCCCTTCCGTCTTCCATAGCTCCACTCCTGTGTTTAGCTAGGTAATGCCATGTGAGCCATCCACAGGCCCCAGGGCCAGGGCAGGCTCCATACAGAGAGTGCTTCTAGAAACATGCTCTGCCTGTCCCTGTCCCCTCCCTCTTGTCCTCATTTATGGGAGGTGTACGGTGCGGTGGCCTTGTGCCCACAGTGCTGAACAATAGCAGATATGCCTTGAAATTCCATTAGGATCATCTATTCCGTGCAGACAGCCCTGCCTTGGGGCCAGTTAGGATGCTGGGTGGCCCATTAGGGCCTGGAGCCTGGCCAGAGGCCACATTACAGCACTATGGGTTTGTGCTGGACTTCTTAATGAGGCCAGAGTCCGGGGTTTTCCAGAATGTTTGCTTGTTTTCCTGCTTGAGGGGCTGCCAACCGGTGGGGCTCTGTGAAAGGCTCACTAATAGCCTGTGATTCAGGGGTTGGCGCCCCTCGCGGTCTCCAGGGCCTGGAGGCAGTTCTCCTCCACCACTCTCAAAATAACCAGGTTTGGTGGGCGCCTCCGAGAATGCTCTGTGCTTTCCTTAAAGAAACAGTGGTTTCTGAAACTGTTCCTTGAAGAGTGTTAGAGGGAACCTCCTCAGAGGTTTTGTTTCTGCCTTTGCCCTGTTAGTCTCAGGAGCTGAGTTTGACAGGGGCAGGATTCCGTGCCTGCCACTGAGGTGCACATGCTGCTGGGGCATGAATTAAATGACCAGTATCCAGCTGTGCTCGTCAGACCTGTGCTGGGCACACAGGGTAGAGGGAGTGACATGTGCCTTGCTTCTGGGATCCAATCATTGACCGAGGACACAGATGAGGGGCTCTTGAAGGAAAGCACTGGGGGCTGCTTTGGGTGAAATCACAGGAGACGTTGTATTACTTTCATGAATGTGGTCTGGAGGGTCGGTCTGCAGGATTTGTATTTTTCTGAAATTTGTATGAAATGCCACTGTCTCTGGCCTCGTGGGAAGGCCTACTTCATGCCAGGGGAAGGGTTGGGCAAGCCGGCTGCTTGGGTTTGTGGCTCACTGTTTTGGTAAGCTGTGGTCCCCTGGCCAAGGTGCCATCTCTATACTCCATCCAGCCTTCTGTAGAGCAAAGCTGCCAATCAAGACCCTGCATAGTGGGGCAGCCAGGAGCGCATGAGTGAGTGGGCATGAGAGGTAGAGCTGAGCTGGGTACTGAGAGTTGGCCAGAGATAAGAAAGGTCCTGGGTGTGGGAGGCGTTGGTGCTGCTTCTCAACCCTGTCCCGGACCACATACCTGTCTTGTGTACCTTAGCACTCTGCTCAGGGTCCTGAACTCAATAAAAGCTTGGTGGTCTAAATTTCCCCTCAAAGTAAAACAGAACCACTCTCCTTTGCGGGATGGAGGTAGACATAGCTCCCCCCAGGGAATCTGTCATCTCTCCTCTGGGGCGTGCCATTGATGTCTTCTGCTGGCCTGAACTCCTCACAGGCACCTTTTTTCCTGGTTCATCCTGATGAGAGGGCCTGGGGCACCCGAGTCTTACTCTGGAACCTTGAGCAGGATCTGAACTACAACTTGGCCATCTCCCTGTGCCCTCCTCTGGCCCCCTTAGCCGTAGGATGCTACCTTCTCTGCTGTTGTAATTCTGGGGTGCAGACCCCTGGTGTCTGGCTTTTATTCTGAACATTTCTCTTATGATACAGACCTCAGAATTTTCTTAGTGATGGAAGCTGTTTGTTTTCCTGGAACCTAAACTGCTTGGTCATGAGGGTGTGGGATTAATGGGAGGTGTCCTGTTTCCTGGCTCCCATCCTGAGTGGAAGGGCTGGGGCTCTGGCCTCTGGTGTTCTTGCATCTGCACACATGTGCACTTCAGTGTCTGCTTCTGTGGCAAGCCCACCCGTGCATACCTCAGCAGACCCCTCTTTGCCTTCTTTGCTTTGTTCCAGCTCCCACTGAGTTTCTGGCCTTTGTGGGGATCACTATGGTTAACTCAGTAGAAATAAATCTCAGTATGGTTTGCCTGAGCTGCCAAGTCCCTGCCAAGAGCTGGGCTCCCTCCTCTGTTTTCCTGCCTGACTCTCAGTAGTAATATCAGCATTTCCAAGTGGGCTGTGGTTCTGGTTGCCCTTTGCCATATACAGTGTATTTCTGGGAACTGGGGTTAGTGACATCACACGTTGCTCTAGCAACCAAACAACTGTTGCGCCCACAGCTACCAGCAGCCTTGGGGGGCCTCTGGAGCCACCAGTTGATTGGCAGCCCTGTGCTAACCCCCACCCTACCAGTATGCCGGGTCTGTTGGGCCCACTCTCACCACAGTGCCGGATCTGAAATGGTAGATGTGAGCAGCAACTTAAAGAAGACAAGTAATTTTAGAATCTTGCTGCTAAGCATAGCCAAAGAAATCACCTAGATGGGTGCTTTCCATTATTTTACTATAAGAGACAGCAGATAGCAGATAGGGTCCTCAGGTCTTCCTTTTCCTTCCTGCCTGCCTCCCCCCCTCTCTCTCCCCCCCCCCCCCCCCATCTCCAAGGTGTCCCCAGGAACTCCATTTGGAAACCACAGACACAGTGTAGCTGCCTTACTTATTTATGCATGGTGTCACTGTTCTTCAGGTCAGCCCTCTGTAGTCTGCCCCCAACCTGCAACTCCAGGAAGACCCCATAGGCGTTGAAGTTGTTCTGGGCTCCAGTAGCCCAGGGTGAAGTGCTGGCCTGGGCCCCTCCCTATTGCCCAAAGAAGCCAGACCTCATCTTCCCGCTGTACCACATATGAGACACCACGTTGTGCATGTCATGTTCCTCCTTGCCCTGGGTGGGGAAGGCCTTACAGAAGGACTTTGCTTTCATTACTTCTGAATCCCTAGCCCACTCATTTTCTTCAGCTGCCTGGTATCTGTTGAGCATCTGTCAGGTGGCAGGAGCTGTGCTGGGCACCAGGGATTTGACTGTGAGCTGCATAGCAGTGTAGCCTGGGGAGGCTGGTGAGTGGGTTGACCGTCCATGGTGCAGCCCCCGCCCAGCCATATCTCCAGACACAAGTCCTAAAACACATAGCACTGTGACAATGTGGTCACTGACCAAATGCTACCCAATATATTTTATAAAAGGCACATCTCTCTTTTTTTTTTTAAATTGTCTTTCCTTTCCTATTTATTTATTTGTTTATTTATTTATTTAGAGACAACATTCCACTGTGTTGCCCAGGCTGGCCTCAATCTCCTGGGCTCAAACAATCCTCCTTCCTAGGCTTCCCAAGTAGTTGGAACTATGGGTGTGGGCCACCACACCTGGCTGTTTACATTTTTTAATACATTATTTTTAAAAATTATTTTTCCAGGGCCTTGTTGGAAGGAGAAAGTAATCCGGAAATAACAATCTGGACTGAGTACACCGAAAATGTGCCACAAGGTAAATATTTTAAAAAGCTAATTATTTAACTTGAAAAAAGCTTTCCATCTGAATTGTCCATTCTGTGGGTAGAGAGTGGGGCCCCACTGATCTGGAAGGACAGGGTTTGGCTATGGTTTTTCAGGTAACAGTTCATCTCTCTTTTACATGCCAAATAGATTTCTTAGTTTAATGGAACATTATTTAAATTACAATGTTGATGAGATTGTGTGGGAAAGTGCTTTTTAAACTCATGTGCTCATCAAGCCAATATTTTGAGGTATTCCCGCCAACATGGTGAGGAGCCAATGTGGCAAGCCAGGCAGAGTGAAGTGTGAGGAGGCTGTGGACATGGACCTGTGCATCATGCCCTTGGAAGCTTTCCCTTTCCAAACAGAAGTGTTAGGGTTGTATCCAGCTTGGGAAGATAGTGTTTGGACAACAGCAGGTGGTCAACATTCTGGAACCTGCTTCCTGGGCAGAGGCGGGATGGTTATAGCATTTCTCCCACCATAGGTGGAGATAGCTCAGGAGCTCTGTCTGGGTGCCCTGAGCACTCTTAGTTCAGGCCCAAAGCTGCAGGACAGGGCTATCCTTCCTACAGCTGTAGAACCAACACAGGAGAATTTGATATTCATTTGAAAGACCCTAAGGACCTGTAAGATAACTTTAAAAACATTTTTTAAGCCTTATGTAATTTTAAAGGGATTCTGGCTAAATAATGGCATATTAAATTATATATGGTGTGTTTAATATACAGTTATCTCTTGGAGGCTGGGGATGTAGCTCAGTGGTAGAGCACTTGCCTAGTGTGCACAATCTCCAGCATTGCCAAAACAAACAACTCCCCCCCCCACCCACCCCCGCCGCACAAGTAAGTCCTGGCTCAGTCATCCCTTGGTATGTGGAGGAGATAGATTCTAGAACACACCTCCACCCCTTGTATATCAAAATCCATGAATGCTCAAGTCCCTTGTATACAATGTTGGAATATTTGCATTTAACCTATGCATATCTTCCTGTATACTTTACATCAACTCTAGATGACCTGTAATACCTAATATAATGTAAATGCTATGTAAATAGATGTTATACAGTATTGTTTAGGGAATGATGAGAAAAAAAAAAACAGTCTGTACATGTTTAGCACTGGTGCATTTTTTAAAATATGCTTTATCTTCAGTTGGATGAATATGTGGATGCAGAACCTGAGGGGACCATAGCTATAGGGCCAACTGTCTGCCTTACTCTTGTAGTTTTAGTCATCATTGCTCCTAATAGGCCCTTCCCAGATTTGATAGGTCACTAGGTTCAGAATAACAATTTTGATTCTAATCATTTGACTGGAATGGATTTGGACTTAGACAATGTCTGCAAGTTTGCTTTCTAATTTTGAGAATAAGCCTTAAAAAAGCAAAGATGTCCATGTAGGTGGCCCTTAGTCGACCTGTCTGGCGTCAGTTAACATCTGACATCTATAAAACAACAATTATTCATTCACCAGATTTCAAGGTTTACCACATTTTTGACTTGTACATATGTAGGTCTGAAAGACTGTGACATTCCTAGAGGAAGGGCCCAGGGTTAAGCTGCAAGGAGGCCCAATATTCTATGAATGGGGCTTGATTATAGTTTATAAGTGGTGACCTTGGAGCCCAGGAAAAGGGTTAATGGGTATCTCTGTTTACTTGTTTCTTTCCATCATTGTTTTTTTAAGCTTCTTGAAGGATATAGAGATTTCATATTTGTAACTAAATTTACTTTAGCATTTACTATTATGCCAAAGAAAGCAGCTGTGGAATAAAAACTACTAGTTGTGAACTTTTTAATTAGACTTTAGGCTTCCAAGTAGTACTATGTCCTGCAGAGTATGCACCCATCAACTCTTTGTTGAATAAATCTACAGGTGAGTTCCCAGGTAGGGAATTGATCAGCACATATTAGTACACTTATATGACTTTTGTCATATTGCCTAAACTATTGTCGTCCACTTGCTCACAAAATGATAGACCTGAAAGGAGTCTGTGATCATCCATATTAATCTTGCTGAACCTTAATTAAATCCAGGTGTTTCCTGGGGGGGTTCATCTTCTGGCATTTTTCAGTTTAATATCAGTATTTTGGCCTAAAAAGAGGAATTTTTGTGGGAATTTTCCTGGCTTGGTCTCTCTTCTATATCTTAGGATCTACCTGAAGGAGGTCTTTGGCCTTGGTTGTCTAGAGGGAAATCAAGGGGAGAGAGGTCTCTGCCCCAGCTCAGCTGGATGGGGTGTGGGAAGACACTAGGGGGCACTCTTGGGAGGATGGTGCTTTGGCCATGTTAAAGCGCTGGCTGCCATGCCTAAGAGCAGGTTATCCTGGTGGCATTTGGGCACCCAAAGGGTGATACTATTTGTGGATGGTCCAGAGCAAAGCTAGAAGCCTTAAGATTCTTCTCAACTCTAGGATGGTTGTCTCTCCCGGACAGAAGGTAGGGTTGACAACTGGTCTGCTTTTTGCATGGGCACTTTATCAGATGAGGAGGTTGTCACATGTAAAAGGAGAAGAAATCAGGAAGCTTAAAAGAGTTAAAGTCTTCCATACCTATTGGCCCCGCAGGGAAATCAGTAAAAAATAAGAGTATATTAAATGGAGGTGAGCTATACTATTTGGTGTTCAGTAATTATACACTTTATAATTATAGAGTTCTTCTCTGCTGAAATAAGTAAAATAAACTTACCTCAAAAAGTAGAAATTAATGATTCTGAAATATCATAATATTGTGAAATTTCAGCTGCAAAACCCAGCACCTCTGGCCTCTCTTGCATATGTGCCATGCCTTATAATCAGATCTTTGATATTTCTCTTACGATGAGTGAATATTTTAAAATTAGGAACTGGAGAAAAGCGTTAGGTTGCAGTATTTGTAGTACTATATTTTATTGTGACAGAATTTTTTAAATGACCCCCCCAAAAAAAGAAAATTGGGGGACTAAAAATGTTTTATTTACAGGGGCCTTCCTGTGATAATAGGGTATATTATGTTGAGAGGGATTTGACCTGCAGTAGTGCTTTTAATAAAAAAGATAATGATGCCTGTCATCTTAATGAACTGTTTGTTCAATTTCTACAGAATTCAGAAACGAATCCTATCGATATACTGACTCAGTATTACAGAGGAAAAATGAAAGAAATCTGTTTCCAAGGCAGAAAGCCCCCTTGGTGGGTTTAAACCACAGCTCCGCTCTGTATTCTCATGGGTCAGGGCACCTCGGATCTCAGACCACCAAGTCTGTTGGAAATGAGGCCAGAAGAGGATATTCTTCCTCCATCACTACCCGGCAGGAAAACTCTTACGAAAAAATTGTCAACGGTCAAACCAATTTCCGAACTTTCTCTCCAACCCCCGGTCTTCTAAGAACAACCAACACCCAAGTTAAAACATTCCCCAGTAGACCCAAACCCGAAGGTACAAGGGATGCCCCCACCTATTTAGGCAAAGAGTCCACCGTTGCCCGCGAGTCATACCAAGAACGCAGGGACAATGTGGGAGCAGGTGTTGTGGAGAGCACTCGGCCAAATGAGAGGACCGTCACTTTGGGGAAAAAAATAGAAGTGCAAACCACCAGGGAGCAAGAAAGAAATAGATTAGGAGCCATCAAAATTAAGCCCGAAGAGAAAATGTTTGATTCCAAAGAAAAGGCTTCAGAGGAAAGAAACTTAAGATGGGAAGAACTGACAAAGTTGGATAAAGAAGCCAGAAAGCGAGAAAGCCAGCAAATGAGGGAAAAGGTCAAAGAGAAGGAATCACTGAAGGAGAAAAGTGTGAAAGAAAGAGAGATACCGATTAGTCTGGAAGTATCCCAGGGCAGCAGACCCCAGGTGTCCCCGAAAGGCTTACAGATGCCAGAGAAGAAGGATGCTGGTGACAGTAAAGTGGGAGAGACGGTGACAAAAGAGACAAGGTTCAGGTTGGACACCAGTGACACTGCTAGTTCCCTGCCAAGTGATTCCATGACAGAAACCATAGCAGAAAACATTGTCACCAATATCCTGAAGCAGTTTACCCAGTCTCCCGACACCGAAGTGTCTGCTAATTCTTTCCCAGACACAAAAGTCACTTATGTGGATAGGAAAGAGCTTCCTGATGACCGGAAAACAAAGACGGAAATAGTCGTGGAGTCTAAACTGATGGAAGAAATTGATGTTTCAGACGAAGCTGCTCTGGACCGCCTTTTAGGCAAGGATGTCAAGGAAGTGGGGCTGAAGGGAAAGTCAGCAGAGCGGATGATAGGGGATATCATCAACCTTAGTCTGAAGGGAAGAGAGGGGAGAGCAAAGGTTGTCAACGTGGAGATCATGGAAGAGCCGGTGAGCTACGCAGGCAGTCGCGGGGCGGAGGAGTTTTCCACCCCCTTTGAAGTGGAGGAGGTTGATGATGTGTCTCCCAGCTCCAAGGGGCTTGTCGAGGAAGAGGACGATGATGGAGACACCAATGTCATGTTCTCAGTTAATCAGCGTCAAAGGACCAAGCTACCCCGGGAGAACGTAACACACGTGGAAGAAGTGACGGAGGCAGGTGACTCAGAGGACGAACAGAGTTATTTTGTTTCGACCCCAGATGAGTACCCCGGGGGCCATGATGGAGATGAAGGCTCCGTGTATGGGCAGATTCACATTGAAGAAGAATCCACCATCAGGTACTCCTGGCAAGATGAAATTGTACAGGGGACTTGGAGAAGGAGAAAGAAGGATGGCACAGTGGAGGAGAAGGATGTGGAGACCCTGGAAGTTCCAGCAGCCTCCCTGGGGGGCAGCATGGGTTCTGCTCACTGGAAGGAAGAAGCTAGTGGTGAATTGCATGCGGAACCCACAGTCATCGAAAAAGAAATCAAAATACCACATGAATTCCACACCTCCATTAAGGGCGGCTTCTCCAAGGAGCCTCGACACCAGCTGGTGGAGGTTATTGGGCAGCTGGAAGAAACCCTTCCTGAGCTGCCTGAGCGCATGAAGAAAGAGCTGTCTACCCTGACCAGAGAGGGTCAAGGGGAGCTGGGGAGCGTTTTAGTTGATGTGAAGAAAGTCCAGGCCTCTGACGGTGGGCCTGTGACCTTAGTTGCTGAGGTCAACCTCTCACAAACCGTGGATGCTGATCAACTGGACCTAGAGGAACTGAGCAGAGATGAAGCCGGGGAAATAGAGAAAGCTGTGGAGTCAGTGGTAAGGGAGAGCTTGACCAAGCGACATGGCCAGTCACCTGAAAGCCCAGACAGGGAAGATGGAGCTGAAGTGTCAGCTGGTGGCATTCACTTCAAACGCTGGGCCACAAGAGAACTGTACAGCCCGTCTGGTGATCTGGATGACGCCGGCAAGCCCTCTGCCCAAGGCCCGGTGTCAGCCACTGTGGAAGTCAGCAGCCCCAAGGGCTTCGTGCAGTCTCACGTGCTGGAGGACGTCAGCCAGTCCAGTAGGTACATTAAACTAGGCCCCACAGAAATCTGGAGGACTGAGCAAGTCTCCCACGGAGGACCCACCGCAGAGGTGGCGGAGGTAAGTAGTGACCTCAGTCAGGCAGGCAGCTCAGCAGGAGCCAGCCAGTCTGTGAGGCACTTCACGGTGGGTCCCCATCCAAGTCAAGTACCCACAGAAGTCATCTTTCAAGGCCCGATCTCTGCCTGGCAGGAGGCAGGGGACAAAGAAGAGCCTGACCTGGCAGAGCTGTCCACCACAGATCCTGAAAGATCCGAGAGGCACAGCACCTTTGGCTCCAGGCAGTTTCATGCTGAAAAGGAAATTAGTTTTCAGGGTCCCATTTCGGGGGCAGTGAAGGTTGGTGAGAGTTTTGTAACTGAAGAGTCAGTGGGTACCCAGACTTCTGTAAGGCATCTTCGGTTGGGCCCTAAAGAAGGATTTAAGGAGGAAATTCAGTTTATAGCCCCCCTTTCAGACAAAGTGGAGTGGGGTATCAGAGGGGAGTCTGTATGCACCCAGGAGTCACCAGGGAGCAGCACATCTGTCAGGCACATAGACATTGGGCCTCTGAGGCAGCCAGCCACTGAGCTGACAGTTCCCCAACCTGTGGAATTTGGTGACTCAGAATGCATCGTCCAAGGAGAGGGCTCACCAGACATGGCCCAGGCCACTCGTAGTTATACCTTGGGTAGAAAAGTCCTCATGACTGAAAAGAGTACATTCCAAAGGCTTGTTTCTGAGTCTCCTCAGGAGGGTAGTGCAGGGGACACGTCAGGGGCAGAAGTGACATCAGGTATTAGCAGATCCTTTAAGCACATTCAATTAGGTCCTACAGAGACCAAAACCACTGAACACATTGTCATCCACGGACCCGTGGCCAAAACATTTGCTCTTGCTGGTTCTGCAGATTCCCCTGAGCTAGGCGAGTTAACAGGCAGCAGCACACAGCGGCACTTTGCACTGGGGCCCAAAGAAACTTCCTTTACTTTTCAGATGGACGTGAGTAACACAAAGGCGATCCCCCACTGGACACCAGAGGCAGGGACAGAAGTGGATGCTCACAGTGTATCTGACCGTGGTGTCTGGAGAGATGCTGACAGTAGGAATGACCCGGCAGCTGGCGGGAGCTTTCAGGCCTCTGCTGGGGATGGAGAGAAGGGTGCGGAGCAGGCGGGGTTCAATAAGACAGTGCAGATGCAGAGAATGGTAGACCAAAGGTCAGTGATTTCAGATGAAAAGAAAGTTGCCCTCCTCTACCTAGACAATGAGGAGGAGGAGGAGGATGGACACTGGTTTTGACAAGCAGAAATATTTTGTTTTAAATGGCATCTTGTTTGGAAATATACTAACATACAAAGGCCTTACTTTATGTGGGGGGGGGGGGCTTATTATCAAAACTGCCCCTATTTTGCTTACTTTAGAGAACTCTGGGCAATGCCAATTGACTTCAGAGTTTATCTGAATTTCAGATTAGTTCATGCCTTCAGAGGCTTTGGAATTTTAGTTTTGAATTGAGACTTTTGCCAAAAAACACTTTTTTATCTTTTTAATCTTAAAAACTTCCTTTTTCTCTACTTGTGGAGATAGTTTCTGCCAGTTTTGCACCTGGTCACAGACAGAGCTTCCTTCTGTTTGATACTGTGACTAATCATCTATGAACAAGATGCCTAAACATTAACCAGATTAAAATAATATATTTAAGAGTCAATTTTGTTTGCATGTGCTAACATGAAATAATAAACTAACATAGTAAGGGAAAAATAAGTACATTTTTACTTTCCAAAGTCTTTGAAATAAGCAAGACTATATCTTTTAAAAAATCAAAATAATTTCATCGTTAGAAAAAAGTCACTTGTTAGCAACTTAAATTCATTTTAAGACTTGAATGAATTGCTTTCTATGTGCAGAACTTTAAAAAACATAGTGTTTTATTTATGGAGAGGACAGCTGTAGTTTACTGCAGTGTTTCAAATCAACATACCTGCTATGTTTGCACCAGTTCCCCTGCACTGGATGCATGATAGGGAAAATGATTGTTGGAAGTTGCTTATAGGACCATTTGTTTTTTGCAGTACTAAGTCATGAGGTAGTGCACAGCCTGAATACTCTTTTTTTGTTGTGGCCTAAGTTCTGGAGTAGCTGGATCCTGTCAGAGTCTGCATTCTTGAGCATCTCTGTGCCTCAGCCCTTAGCACCAGTGTTCTGGTTCACTGGTGAGGGGTAGAACCCTGCACTCAGTGAGGAGGGTGTTGATGCTCAAACTGCACCTGCACCGGCAAAGTGATCTTGTGCAGGAAAACAGAAGGACAAGGTGGACTGTGCCTCCCAAAGAGGCTGTTCTCAACTGCCCACTTGTGGGTTGGAGCTCTGTCTGAGCTTGAAGACTGAAGGATGAAAATGCAGCAACCACAAGCCAACCTCGTGGAAGCTTTTTGCACTTTAAACAGAAATCCTGACAGTGGGGGTGTTTTGTCCAGTGAAACACATAACACATTAGATGAAGCAAGGTGTGTGGAGCAGGAACTGGGTGGCTCTCCTACAACCCAGCACCCAGGCACCCAGGACAGGCCCTGGAAGTTGACAGAGGCCTCGTGCTCACGGGCCATGTAATGTGGACCTGCAAACTTATACTACTGAATTTAAGATATTAGGAGGAGTGTGCTCATTTGGATTCATTTTTATTTTGCACATGGGTCTTGTTTTTAAAGTCCCCATCTTTCAAAGATGTAGCATCACATATTAATGGGTTTCTAGCAGCACAGCATTATTTTAGTCCAGACTAGTTGCTCTCACATAATGTGGGCTAAGCGTTGCTTCCTGTAGCACAGTGTGGTAGATCTGATGGTAGTGAATTCAGGAAGAAGGATCCGTGGTAATGCCACCTGCAGGTGGGTTATGAGTATGGTGGCGGAGGTAAGACATTGGAGGGTCTTCCCTCCCTCTCTCACATGGTGGGTGGGTGGGTGGGTGTCTCCTCTCGTCCCTGTAATGGTGATGACAGGTAGGTTAGGAAGAGTTAGTTTTCCTTAGTCAATAAGTGGAGGAGAAATATAGAACGCCTTTCAAGATGATCTGTTAAAAAACAAACAAACAAACATCATGAATCCAGGTAAAGAAAGAAAGTTGATTTGAATAGCAAGTTTAGATCTTTGTTACCCATCTGCCAAATTAACTAGTGGTTATCAGACTAACATAGAGGTGACTCCTTTGCAAAGGCTTGTCTTTTCCAACATGGTCAAAGATGTGCTGATTTATGTTCACCGTAATTGGTAATGGTGTTATTTATTAGAATTTGGTACAGGTGACAGCCTCTTACTTGATGACAAGACAAAGTGACGATGAAGAGTCTATTATGAGTCTAAATGGGCTTAGCTGGATGTCACTGTCTTAACTCATTAACTTGTAAATGGGTGCTGATGTAAGCAGGTTATTAATATCACAACCCACCTTTACTTATTTTGGAAAATAAACATCTTAGACCTTAATTTTCATCTCTAAGTTGGAATGCATGTCTTCAAGGAAATATTCTGCCAGAAGTGTTTACCAGTATGGAGTCATGAGCTGTCATCGTGCTAAGTCTCTGGATCACGGCTTGCCCTTGACATCATGGCAGGTCACCCCAGAGGTCCATGTTCTTTAAAACCAGCCACTGTGATCGATCAGAGTGGGAACACAAAGAACCTTTTCCTATTCATTAGTATGTGGACAAAATAGTGTTTATTGGATGTTTTTGAACTTCCCACTGGTTGATTTGATAGTTTGTTTAGGATGTGTGTTTAGGATGGAATCATCTAAGAAGCTGACTTTGCTAACCTCCTGTTCATAAAGGGAAATGTCACAGACTGTGTAGAAATAAAAAATCTGAGGAGAAAAAAAAAACTATGTTGTTCCTAAAGAGAATGTTTTCCATTCGATTTTGGTGTGTTTTCTTTTAAACTCTAATGAAAGCAAACATAAGTTTACATGCATGTCTTCATGGTAGCACAGAATTACTGGGGAGAATATATAAAAGAAGTTCCAGTTCACCTGAATCAGAACTCAATATTGTGGACACAGAATAAGACAGGATGGTAGACAGCATAAGCCACCTGGCTGGTGTTCAAGTACATCCTGGATACTTAGTGGTAAAAATGTCATCACAGCCTGGAAGACAAGTGCCGCAGGATGTGACCATCCTCTCCCTTGTGCCCAGGACCCAGGGGTTTCCTGGGGCACAGGACTTTCTGTGCTAAAACTAGACTGTCCCTGGGACAGTTGCTTACCTTAAGGGCAAACAGGAAGGTTAGTTAATCATGACTGTTTCTTAGGTACTTCAAAAAATTGCAGTAGCTTGAGTCAAAGGAAGAGCTAGATGTCTTTACCTGTTTATATTCTTTTAGCCTTTTTAAAAAATACGTATTTATTTTTTAGCTTTAGGTGGACACAATATCTTTACTTTACATTAATATGGTACTGAGGAACAAACCCAGTGCCTCATGCATGGTAGGCGAGTGCTCTACCACTGAGTTACAACCCCAGCCCCTCCTTTTAGCCTTTTACTGACAAAAATAAAAACACAAATAGCTGTATTCTTCCTCTCTTAAAGAAGTTAAATTTAATCGAAGGTGACATTTGGTAAGACATTCCTAAATGTACTCTTTCCTAGGCTTGGGGTAGAGCACTAAATTTAAAAGATGTTTTGTGATTCCAAGCTACCCTCCAAGAAATACAGAAAAGTAGAAAAAACAAATAATAATCCATATTTCTTTAAATGTGCTGCCGTGACGTAACACTATAGCCTGGGTGACTTAAACAGCATTTACTTTTCATGGTTCTAGAGACTGGTTAGGTCCTACAGATTCACTTTCTGGTGAGGGCTCCCTTCTTGGCTTGCAGATAGTCATCTTCTAGTTGTCATCATGTTGGGGAGAGAGATCATCTCTCTTCCTTCTCTCACAAGGACACCAATCCCATTGACCAGGGGAAATAAACTAGTGACTTAATTACTTCCTAAAAGCCCCATCTCCAAATGACATCAATTAGGTCTTGTTTTAGTCAGCTTTTACATCACTGTGACCCGAAAACCTGACAAGAACAACTTAGAGGAGGAAAAGTTCATTTTGGCTCATGGGTTCAGAGGTTCAGTCCATGGACAGCTGCCTTCGTTGCTGTGGGCCACAGGTAAGGAGGAAGGTCGTGGTGGAAGGTCCTGGTGGAGGGAAGGCCGCTCCGGACATGGCAACCAGGAAGCAGAGAGAGTTCTATTCTCTAGGAACAAAATATAAACCCCAAAGGCACACCCATGGTGACCTGTCTCCTCCAGCCACACCCTACCTGCCCACAGTTACTGCCCAGTTGATCCATATCAGGGGATTGATCCGATAATCGGATTATGTATCATAATCTGTTCACTTCTGAAAATTTTTACATTGTCTCACATGATTTTTTTGGGGGGGATACCTCATACCTAAATCATAACAGGGCTTCAAAAATGAATCTTTTAGGGACACAAACGGTCCATAAAATACTCCAATGTATATATATTTAAGTGCTTATTCCACTATCTACATTGAAACTCAGGTCTTCAACCAGTTAGGAACCTGGTCAGGGGCGATCACGACTCCTTTTGCTGTGACCACATGGGCCTGAGCCCAGCATGGTGGGTGTGAGCAGGGGTGGCCTGCGTGGTCAGAAATCGCTCTTGAAGAAGACAAGGGTGGCCTTTTCACCTCGTCATAGTTCTTCTCAGTTTATTTCCCCCACAAATTCTTGAGGTGCTGCTCTGTACAGTTGGACTTGGTGTGACTGGGGTTTCCCTGGGGGGTCAGAGCACAGGGAAGTCTAGCTGTAATGCTGCTGCCATTCTAGCACTGACCTGCAGCCTCCCTGGCCACAAAAGGGGGGATGAAGGAATGTGGGGGATGGACAGCACTGCTCATGCCTGCACCCCCAACCTCTGGAGGTTCCATTCACCTTATCCCTGCCCTGATCTTCTTGTTGACACCCAAGAGAAAGAGCTCAAAACTTTCTGCTAAAGGGCCACCATCATATGACTGTAGCATCCCACCAGCTGTGGCCCAAGGAGGCCGAAGCCCTCTGTGGACACAGCACCAGGGACTGTGCAGCCCCAGAAGCAGTGCTGTTTGTCTCGCCTGGGGAGAGGCAACAGGAAGAAGCAAAGCAGCAGGGAGTGTGTGTCCCTCCCTGCCTGGCCCTTCCAGGCAGCACTCAGGCCTGCTCACCCTCTTACAGCTGCCTCCCCTGAGCCCATGTCCAAGTGAAGGCCACTTACCACCCACCCCATCTCTGTTGAATCGCTACTGCGATCATTTACTAATTCCACTGTCATGTTTGATATCTAGTGTCATATTGGGTCGCACACTATGAAAGGGGGACTGTATGTGTGTTGTCCATTATGTCCCCGTTTGTAACACAGACCTTGTACATACTAGGTGCTCAGCAAAATTCACTGAGCGAACAAGCACATGAATGAAGGCACAGCATCTCTGTGCACCTTTTCAGGCTCTGAGGAACCTGGGGAGTATTCATTTAATTTATTTGTGTATTTCAGTGCTAGGCATGGACCCAGAGCTTCGAGCATGTTAGGTAAGCACTCCACCACTGAGCTACATCTCAGTCTTCATTTTAAAAATGCACACCAACATCAGTACTTTTGTGTTTCCCTTTATTAACATTTTATTCTCAACCCCTATTACCTTCCTGTAAGAAAGGGCCTTTTCTAGAATCTTTTGTTCTGAATCTGACTCCAGATCTGTGCAAGGGGCTACATGTACAAGGAAGTTCTGAACTTCTGCAGAGAAATCTTTTGGCCACAGTAGTGCTGGTGGGCAAATTTTTTTTGGCAAGAAAAACCACAAGTGGTGACAAAAAGAAAGAATACACAAGTGCCAGACCAGCCTGAATTCAGAGCATCCACTGTCAAAATGTGGCCCAAAGAGGTTTTGGTATTACTGTTGCATGTTGGAGCAAACGGTTGGCCTTGGGAATCTGTGCATGGGTAAGTTTCATCTTCTAGTTGAACAGGTTTGTACAGCTTCTCAATGGCAGTGCCCAGGACGGCCTAAGGCTTTCGCTGGAGTAAGGGTGAGGGGTCTCAGTCTGCCAGGTTGGTCCTGGCCTTTCCCAGTGCAGAGTGCTGAGGGACAGTGGTGCAGAATGCCACTATGGCTTTTGGAGACTTCCTTGCCTTTCCGGCGACCTCGGGGGTCCTGTAAACAAGGAAAGAGTGGGTTATGTGTGGCCCCCTTAGGCCTCTGCAAGGTTTCCACCTCCATGGTTTCTTTGCTGTTGTGACAGGAACCTTGTGACTGATCAGAAACATTTTATAAGTCTCAGGAGAGGGTGTAAGTGAGAGAATCATGGCACAAGAGCATCAAACACAAGATGCTTTTCTTCTGTCTCAATTCTTTGCCACCACCCTGACTGAGCTGAGCCACTCAACACTTTTAGTTCAGTGAGCAGGACAAGAGCAAGGAGGGGTGTCAAGTTTGGACAGGAGGCCAGGCTGACTTACGTGCCCCACCCTAAAACGGGACAGTTCTCCTATTGGCTGGCCCAGGGTTCTGCTACTGGGGCACTTCCCTGAAAGTGGACACAGGGGGCACAGGCTATGTGAAGTGGGGGACCTTCTGACAGTTTGCTGGGCTTCTGCTCAGGGCTAGCAAAAGGATGGGCCAGCCTTCAAGATGAGGTCAGGGACTCTCTGACTCCTACCCTGACAGGCCTCCAAGGGCTGAAGGAACCCGAGGCAGAACTCCAGCAGGCTACCTCCCCACATCATAATGGGTGCCTTAACCTACACGGGGCTGATCTGCAGGAGGATGGGATCCAGTTTGTGTTTCTGAAATTATTTAAGAGCAAATTCTTTTCTAGTATTTAGGCAAGGAAGATATTTTATGACTGAGTTTTCAAAGAAACAGGTCCTGCATTTAACTATGCAAGTTGTGGGAAGTCAGTAAAACATTCCACAGAACCTTATAGAATCAGCCTCCTCTGGGATTCTGAATGGTGAAGGAATGGGAGACTTAGAGAAGAAGAGCAAGGGAAAGCCAACTTACTTGGACAGGGTGTCCACAGACTGCTGGGTGGCCAGGGTCCTCTTGTCTTGTGGTCCATATAAGATCATCTGAATCTGAAGACACTGAAGAACACCAAGGAGACATCATGAGGTTATGGAAATGTTCCCAAGTACACTTTGCAGAAAAATAAAGTCTCCCTTGGATGAGAAAAAGAATGCTTCGGGGGCTGGGGTTGAGGCTCAGTGGTAGAGTGCTCACCTAGCATGTGCCAGGCGCTGGGTTCAACCCTCAGCACCACATTTAAAAAAATAATAATAATAATAAATAAAATAAAGGTATTGTGTCTGACTACAACTAAAAACAAAATATACCAAAAAAAAAAAAAAAAAGAATGCTTCACTTTGAGGTCCATGTTGCAAAGGAATTAGTGCCTTCTGGGTGTTTATCCTTGGCAAAGTCTGACCTTTGATTCAGATATTTTGAGTGACCCAGAAAACAAATGTGCATTCTTAGCACTGCTTCATAAAACTCTTCTGCATGCAATATATATATATTTAAAAGTATTTTCAAAAA